ATAAATTCTCTTAAAAAATCTACTATAGAGGGGGCTTTTTGGGTATTCTTCTATAGTGGGAATTTCTATTCTCTTAATGCCCCAAGACTGCCTCAAACTGAACCAAGCCAGTGTCTGGATTCATTCATCATGTTAAGCTAGAATGTAGCTTGTTAGGCTAGGTATGTTGTTTGGCTGAGTTGTGTGTATGTAGCCACTGTGGTTTGTCAACCCTGATGTATGGCTTATCAGATATGAACTCAACAATTTGTGATTTTTGCAATTAAGCATGGTTAAACCTGTTGTGTGAACCCAACTAGTCTCTCATCCTGGCTGCATCCCTGAATGGGTAACACTTATCTTTTCTTCCTCTCTAAGTTCAGCCTCTGTCTCAGTTTACCTTGCAGAGCTGAAATATGTCAGTTTCATACTTTCTAATGAACAGTTCTGCCTTGGAAGGTGACTTTGGTTAGGATTTCTAGCTCAAATCTGGCTTAAAGGTGCCAAACATACATTGTAATGTGTTAAAAGCCATTCTGGGTAACTCAGAGGTGGTATACCGACTTTAAAATCAAGATAAGAGAACAGGGACAGATCTGAACATTGCCACAAAGATTTAGTAACAGCTGGACATCAGTCTGAGCAGCCAACACAGAAATTCAGACTTTTCTGACTGATTATACTCCACCAGGTCAGTGTCATCTCTTAGCAGATAGACATCCTCCAGAAAGATCGGTCCTCACCCTGGCCCTTCAGGGTCTTCTAATGTTGTTACTGAGTCCCTCCACCTTGCTGCTGGTCATCCTCTTCTCTTTCCTGCACATTCTACAAAGACCTGCAAGCCATCTGCAAAGACATTGACCAAAATCAAATGACTATATTTTGAACATATTCTACAAAGACTCAGCCTTATGGACTTCTCAAGGGAGCTGGGTCTTTGCAGAATGTGTTCAAAATATGATTGTTAGATCTTGGTCAGTTGTGCCTCAAGTGAGAATTCTGGGTTGATTTGTCCAATGACCCATTGGTTGGTTTTCTTGGCTGTCCATGGTATTCTCAGGAGTCTCTTCCAACACCAAAGTTCAAAAGCATCAAAGTGGGATGGAAGGATAAGCAAGTTTCCATTGTTCCTGAACCTGTGCTGAGTCCCTAGTGCTCACCTTAGGAAGCTCATGGAGAACTTTCAAAAGAAGCCATTCCCTTGTTATAGCTTTGAACAATCTGTGACTACAGAGCTGCATGGCTCCCTCTTTTTTTTTTGCAACTTCCAGAGCCCTTCCAAATAAATATTGCAGTTTCACTGACAAAAATCACCTGTCCGCTTTCTTGGTATTCTGAGATGAGAAGCATGTGAAATCTGTAGGAAACTGTAGAGTAAACCTCTAAATAGACATCATAATGTCTAAGAGTTGAAGAAGATCCCCCCCCCCGCAAAGAAGAAACCCATGCACATAAGGGTGATGTGATCCCACCCTGTGCATAATCACCCCATCCATTCTCACCACCTCCCCGCGCCAAAAATTGTGCTCCCCTTACTACTAATATCTCGGCCAACCCTGCCTTCTTCCAATTCCAGAGAAACTCTAGTTAGCCTGAAGATTCATTGGAGGACAAGCAGATTTCCAAATGACTGTTTTCCCATAAGTGAGGGGATGTATACTGTTTAAGTCCCACATGGCTCTTGGCCTCATCTCAAAGTCCCCCACAAAAGATCAGTTCAGATCTCTGGTAGCAGCCCTCCTCTTCTCTCTCCTGCAACTTGCAGAAAGGTTTCAGAAAGAGGAAGTGAATGAATGAAAATAGAAAGGGGTTAGAAAGAGAAAAAAGGGGGTTCGCTGAGAATTGCTGTCTATTTGGAGCTGTTCTCCCATTGTTTGCTTCAAACCTGCCCACCATACAGACCCCACTAGATTATCCCTGAGGGAAGATTGTCTGCAACACAACAAAGTGAGTTGAGAAGATGGAAGAGAGAGGCCATTTCTTAGCACAAGTGTATACACTTATCATAAGGAGGGAAGCGCCCCTCCCAAGGCATCGGTTTGCATCACAGGGGTCTAATATTTGCCACTCTTTAGATACAAGGACCATCCAGTTGGGGACAGGTGCCCACTTATCTCCATTAAGAACCTTTTGAATGATAAGGTCTTTAGCCATGTGTGTTTCACAATAAGGTCCTTGGCCCTGTCTCAGGAACTTGGCCAGGAAGGATGGAAGAGTGGAGAATCAGGTTCTCGAGTCCAACTAGCAAAGAGAAGGTCTGTCTCCCAGCCAGAAGAATGGAAAAGCCACTCCCACCTGTAGAGACTTCCTGTGCACCTATATACATATATATCTCTCTGACTCTTTCCACTTCAGTAACTGGCAAGGGGCAGACCTAATGTTGAGGTGAGAGCACACTGATGGAGATGGAGGAGAAGATAGAAATTGTCACCAGGGAGACTCTACTCCGAGCACCATCAGCTGTGAGTCCCATTGCTACATGATTATGTTTCATTCCCTTTGTGTCTTCTTCTTCCAAATTGCAGAGGCTCAGGTTTAAATAAGCGCCTGAATTATCTGAGCACCTGGGGTCTGCTTCTGGCCAGATTCATCTGCAAGAAGACCCAATGATCTGCCTTTTAAAAGCCCAATTAAAACCTTGTCTGTCTCTAGATGCTGCAAATATTATTCAATATTTCTTGATGGTGGCTCAGGGTTACAATTTCCCACCTCATAAACCTGCATGTTATAATTGAGACTCAGCTCCTTGAGTTATACCTTGGAAATTGATGTCAGGACTTGGGAAATCTTCAGACCAAGCAAATATTGTGCTAAACTGCAAGAGCTGTGATGGATGTTCACCTCTTTTATCTCTCCCACCAGTTTCAACTAGATGTTTTAGAGAGATAATTTTTCCTTTTCTCTTACCTGCTTTTCCAATGAGCTCAGTAACCTCTTGGTTGTCCAGACAGGACAGTCCAAAAGGCAGGGTCCTCTCATTTAAGGAGAACCCCAGCAGCAGAGCCACACCAACTGTTCTCCCCAGTAGACCTCCCAGGTCTCATGGCAGCCAAGGGCACATGCTCTGGGTCTCATCAATTGAACAAAGTCATCTGATGGCACCCAGGAAGTGGCTCTCTCTATCACAGCACCTGCCCTCCTGAATGATGTCTCCCTAAGCAGTATTTCTCAACCTTGGCGACTTTAAGATGTGTGGACTTCAACTCCCAGAATTCCCCAGCCAGCAGAAAAACACTGCCCTAGAGATTGGATGGTCTCCATCCTGACCCTATTGAAATGAGCCCTTAATGCTAAGGCTTGGGCTGGTGTGGTAGGTGGACCCCTTGTGGGATATTTGGTTTGATAGTCTGGGTGTTTTTTCCAGATGTTTGTCCTTCAATGATTTTGTATCCTTCTGTTTATTGTTTCATGCTGTTTGTGCTGGTTAATGACCACCATCAAGTTTTTTCACTTTCAGCATCCTGCTCTATGCCACCCAGTCGTGATGGAGTTAGACAGCTTATAAATCCATTTATAAATCACCTGACGTGCATTTAAAGACCCCGCAGCCTGGAAGCAAGGGGGCAGCCAGGCTGTGAAAGCAGCAGGCCCCAGGTAGGGGTGGCACAGGCCAGGGGTGGTGGTGGCAACCATGAACTGGAGAAGAAGGTTTGCTTGCCCTCAACCAAGTCAACCAAAAGGACCGTTGAGTGTGGATGTGTGGCACGGGTGGCAGAGACCAAGGCGAGAGGGCAGAGCTGAGACCCCAGAATGCCCCTTCCACTCCAGCAGTGGCACAGACAATCTCTTTTCTTCTTTCTCACATGGGTCTGAAGGATCTCTCTCTCTCTGTCTCTCTCCTTTCATCTACCTCCACAGGACTACCATGCCCTGGAGCCAGTGCCTGAGGGCTGTTGTGGTCGCTGCCCTGGCTGTGGCTTCTGTCCAGGATGCGGCTCCTGCCCGGGATGCGGCTCCTGCCCGGGATGCGGCTCATGCCCAGGATGCGGCTCATGCCCGGGATGTGGCTCATGCCCAGGATGTGGCTCGTGCCCAGGATGTGGTTCCTGCCCGAGCTGTTGCTGCTGCCCTTGCTGTGGTTGTGACTCCTGCCCTGGCTGCGGTTGCTGCCCCAGCTGTGCCTCCTGCCTCGACTGCTGCTGCCCCAGCTGCTGCTGCCCCCCGAGCTGTGACTGTTGCTGCCAGATGTGCTGCTGCCTCCCCAGACTGCTGTGCCAGCTGCCCAAAATGATTGGCTGCCCAGTGAACCTCAAGAGGTTCCTGATCGTTCTGGTGATTGTGGGCCTGGTTGTGCTGGTTGTCGTGGGGGCTCTTCTGATGGGGCTATACATCACCCAGGCGCATACCGAGACAGTAAGCAGGGGAGCGCTGGGCCAACAGGAAGCCGGGCTGAGGAGGGGGCGTTCTCCCTGGGCTGGGCTGGGCTGGGCTGGGCTGGGCTGGGCTGGGCTGGTTGGAAAGGTCTGAATCCAGCAGGAGAGGCAGGAAATGTTGCAGCAGGATGCCCCCTGGAGCTGGCTTGCATTGACTCACGAAAGCTGGTGGTTACGTTTTCAGGAATCGGGCGAGCTGGTTAAGAGCAGAGCCGGGCCACGACGCCTAGTGCGCCGATCAGTTCTTCCACAGCTAGCAGCACACTGCAGGGACAGCAATGGAGCTGGTCCTTAAACAGTTACCAGCACACCCTGGATGCACCTGTTATGAAGCTTAAGATAGCATGTACCCCTTGGCTCTCCACTTGTGATGGAATGGACTTATGAAGGCCAGGCTCAGGGAGATAAACATTTTCTTAGCTCCCCAGAAGAGTGTGGGAG